TTTTTGTTATATTTAATCATATATTTCTTTTATTTTTTCAATGTGAGACTTTCTCACTTATAAGGGAAAGAGGCATAGTAATAATATTGTTAATTAATATTACTAGATTGGTTTAAGTCTCAAGAATGTATTTTCGGTTCAAATGATGGATAACTAATGACCATATTCTAATACTGCCTACAATGGGGTGTTTTAGTTGGTAAACTTCATATAATAAGTTATGTGTATGAAGACTTCAAATTTGAGTCTTGAAAGAGGTAGGGTGGATAAGAATATATGAAAGAAATGATTATTTTTTACTTCTTCGTTTTTATTTAGTTTTTAATTTTTAAAATTATGATCTTTTTATTTAATTATCTACTTTTTATTTATAAAAGACATTAAACGCTCTTCTTCTTCTTTTTTTAATTTTTCCCATATTATTCTACTCGAATCTATGGATAAAAGGATAAAGCTTTTATTATGAAGAATTTCGGTATTTAAAATAATAATTATTTTTTTGTTTTTTTCCTTAGATTTTCTCTGTAAGTGTACAAGTTCAAAGTGGCAAACTACAAAAGAGTTTTATACATACAAGGGTGATGCCCCAGGGTGGTTGGGGGGTGGGGGTGGGTTTCATGTCGATCTGCATAGAAAAAAGTGTAGAAATATTTATGAAAAAATTTAAGTACCATTAATGAATTAGCAAGCAAGCGATTCATAATTCCTATATTTAAATAATTTTACATATATTTTTTACACTTTTTTTTCACGGAAAATTACCTTTTGCACCCCAAATATACTAACAAAATAAACATTCTAATCTAATTAGAGGGTAAAATGAACTTTTGAGGGATCTTGTTCAGATTTATTTATTTATTTAGTTTTTTAATATTAATTTTTCGATATCAAGTATCTGATATTAAATTTTTTTTTTTGGTAATATATTAGATTTATTATTGATAGTACACAAAAATGATCAAAACCAACCAACTCTATTTATAGATTTAAATTGAAGAGGCCCCTTTCTAGACAATTTATATCGATCCTTGAAGAAAGAAGCAGGAGCAGGTTAACATCAAAATAATAATTAGGGTAGCTAGCCTCACCCAACAGCATTGATCCACTGTACTCCCAATTAATTACTAACTAATCCTACTAGAAAAGTATCTCTCATGTTATATCAAACAACAATTATTATTAACTTTTAATAAATAAATATATCAGTAAATAAGTATCATTTTATAAATCAAATATAAATTTTAAGTATTAGGCTCAACATCTAAAAAATTAATTTTTCTTGAATATACTAAACTCATATAAGAGACATGTATTTAGGATTGCTTGAAAAAAGATTAATATTTAGGTGTGTAAAAACTTGCACTGGGCCACTTTGACTGCAAACCGGTCTAATTAAGTACATAGAACTCCATTAACAAATTTCATGAGCTGCGACCGGCTATTGCTTATTAAATTATTTGCTTAGTTGCAAGTTGCAACCGCTAAACCAAACAAGCGTTAAATTATAAACTCAAAAATCAGTAAATAGCAAGTGCGCTGATGATCAGACATACGCACCCGTAGATACAAACAACCCAACTGCCAATTGGGAGCCATAAATAAATCAATTCCAATCTTTAGTAAAAAAACAGCGGAATTAATTAAATCTGTATTCTGGGAGAGAATATGATCAAACGTAATTCAGATTCTGACAGTTGTTCTCATTTTTGGGATTGAAATTAATTAACATTTAGAGAAAAAGAAAAGGTAAAACCAAAAAACATAAATGAAGGGAAGAAGAGGTGGGTTGAGAGCATTAAACAGATGAAAGGAAACACCAGTGACGAAGAAAGATGAGTTTGAAGAAAGCGAGGTGTTTCCATGGTCATCCTTGAATTCTGCATTTAAGTGAATTCAAGATGGGAGTTAATGAAGGCAGGTAGAGTTACTTCAACTCTTCCTTCCCTTCTTTCTCAATGCCTTTAATGGCTTTTTGGCCCCTTTTCACCCTCCTCTTCCCTCCCCTAGTTTCAATATAATGAAATGACTGATTTTTCGTTGATGGGTTTTTAATGATTTGGATTTGGGATTTTGGGTTTGTTTCGGAAAGAAAAATAAGGTTAAATGTTGTGCTACTCTTCTCAACTAGTAGCAATGAAATGAGTAAGTAATTTATGTCATCTGCTGACTAGTCTATTCAGGGTCCCTCATCAATTTATATTTGGTTGGTGAAATTCGGCTAAGGAGACAACCCTAAAGTAGCAATCCTCCATGCACAAGTTAGATTTTTCTCGTATAAAGAAACATACCCCAAAGGAAATTTTGATTTTTTTTTTTTTTTTGAATTTTCTTGTTGTTGCAGCACATACATTAGATGTCACGGGCGCGGGTGTAGCAAGTTTAATATATGATTGATATCACTAGAAATTTCGATTTAGCATTTTGAGTATATATATATATATATATGAATGAGATCACATGCATGGAGATGTACTAATATTCAATGTTTATGAACAATGTATTAAAATAAACCTTTGGAAGGTGTTTCCTTCGCACGATGCAAGGGGATTGAGTATGTTCGCTTTGTTGGTCCAAGAAGATCGACGAAATTTAGCTACAAATATGGTCTAAGGAGGGAGTGGAGTGGGAATTTTAGGACATGAAGGGTGGTGGAAAGGTATGGTTCTTTTGAATGATGACAATGTTTCTTAATTTGAGAAAATAAAAGAAAATGAAAAATGGAATTGAATTAGTTGTTTTTATGGATGAAGAGGGGAGGGTGTTGAGAGCTTTAAAAGTGATTTTTTTTTTTTGGGAGTGATTAATTGAGAAATATATTGGTGCGTCTGGCAAACAAATGATATGGATTTCATTTTATGTAGGTGAATTGTCATTCTTAAAATTTTCTAGTGTGTTTAATTTAAATGGAAATAAAATCATCATTTCATTTTTATTTGAAGTTTATTTATAAATGAATTCTTATGTTTGAAATAAATTATTAAAGAATGTAATTTACTTGAATTTCGTAAGAATTTATGTTAGAAGTGAGTTTAAGATTGGGTTTAATATATAGTATTTTAATAATCTAAATGTTTGGTTCATTAAAAAGGATGTAGTTCATTTTTAATTTCTATCAAAATCGGTACTCCTACGACTTTTTTCTTTTTTTTTATAAGAAATAGCAATGCTTTTATTAATTTTGAGAAGGGAGTACAATCAAGACCTTACATAATGAGTGTTTACTCTTCTTCTTTTTTTTTTTTTTTTTTTTGCATTTGATAATAAATTACATAAGAAAAAATAGCTCTTTTTTTTTTCAAATTCTTTCTCACTCAACTCAAAATTTGAATATGAGATTTTTAATTTAAAATTTCAAAATTTTAACTAATTGAATCACTCTTTGCATACCAACACAAGAAGCTTGAGGTTGCTCATATTGTGCTGTGTTGTGGGCCAAAGGTCGATCTTCTAACATGATAGAAGGATATACACACAAACTATATATTATAACCAAAAGTTAATTGAATTAGTTTATACTTAAACTAATTTCATGGTTCTAAAGTTTAAATTAAATTTGACATTTTTTTAATGTAACCAAATATGCAAACTATAAAGTTATATATAAATGAATTTTTCAAAATTTTAATCAAATAAATTGAGATATGATATGAGTTGATATCAGAAAATTGAAATAAATACTTGCTTTTTAATTAAACTAAACACAATTGTAAATGAATTCTACACTTTTTGTAGAATTCATTAAACCAAACACGCCAAAAGGATCATGGGATGTGGAATTTGTTTGAATGGCAAAGGGGTGTTGAGAGCTTTAAAGCCTTTAGTTCTTTGAGTGACCCAATTTTGGAAGTTGGAGTTATTGTCTATTAATGATCCATTAGCATTCAAGACCTTCCCTCTTCAACTGTTTACAGAGACTCTGCATTTAATGGCCCTTCCATTCTACACCTCTCCCCCTCCTCTTCTCCCACCGCCTCTCATAAGTACCCAAAAAATCACTTTGTTTTTTGGCTTCTTGCTTCTCCCTAGCTCCTTGGCTTGGCTCATCTATTAGAACTAATTGTTTATTTGACATTAAAGCCTTTAACCAAGTGTTCTGCTGTTTGAATCTTGATAATACCTCTCTTAGGCCGATCTGATGGTCTCTAGACTCTCTACAAGCATATTGCTTAATTTATCTATCAATGTAAATGTCATGTGTAAAATTCAAATTCTTTCTAACTTTGAAAAAAAAGAAGATTACAAATAAATTGTTAAGTCACAAAGAAGAAGTTAAGGTTAGTATGTATAAATTTGATGAGTTAGATTAAGGATTAAAGAAGAGTTGGTTAAGCTTCCACGTCAAAGCTTTTTGAACAGCAGCTTGAAGCTATGTAGTGTAGTAATTGAAGAGAGCCGACTTGGAATGCACGTCATGCACAAGTTGGCCTTTTTAGTTTTTATCTTTAGTCTTTATTTAGATAAAAATTAAATAAAAGAAAGATAAGGGAGCAAAAGGGAAGGAAAGAAAAGAGAGGTGAAGAATAGAAAATAATTGATACTAACTTTGTTTAGATAGAAAAAAAAAAGATAATATTTTTATTTAATTAAATAATTTTTTAAAAAATAAAATAATTTTTTTTTAAATTCATTAATTAAAAAAATTGAAAAAAAATATATTCGTAGATTTATTTTTAAAAAAATTTTAAAAAATAAATATATAAAATCAATCTTCCTTAACTCTTACGATTTGAAGAGATTGAAAATAATTGAGTGACAACGATTACGTTTCTCTCCATCTCTCTTTTCTTTTATTAAAATCAGAAATCTAAATAAAAAAAAAAAAATCTCTCTCTTTTTCCCCTTCCCTTTCCTTCCCCTCCAACTGCCCCAATCCAAATTAAGGCTTAAATTTAATTTTTTTCCCCCTATTAGAGACTTTGATTACACTTACGTGGCTGCCCATATAGCCAACCTCCCCTCTCCTCCTATATAATCACCCCCAACACTTCACCTTTTGATCACTCTTAAACAGAGAAAAAACAAAGCAGTCTTCCCCTGTGTTCAAGCTATGCTTTCATTTCAAGCACCCATCCTTCCTAACCCCAGAAAGACAATCCAGGAAGTCGAGAATTCATCAAACAAGAGAAAGCGGCCCGAGGAACCCCACACTAGTACTGAGGAAACTCTTGAGGAGAAGCGACTAAAATCATTGTTTGATATTGAGCTGCATCTCGAGACTCCATTGCCTCTCGAATGGCAGAGATGCCTTGATATTCAGGTACATACAAAAACTGTTAAAGTAATAAAGTCCCACATTGATTAAGTAAGATATTTCCTATGTATGGAAACGATCATCTTTCTTTTATGACGTAATTTATGGTCCCCTGTTTTGCAGTCAGGGCAGATACACTTTTACAATACAAGAACACATAAGAGAACGTCCAGGGATCCCAGGAGAAGCCCTGAGCCTCTGAGTCCTGGAGATCATCATCATCATCATCATCATAATATGAGCTTAGACCTTGACTTGAATCTTTCGTATGATTCACTGATGAGGAAAAGTAACAACGAGAGAGAGGAATTCATGACTAATAAGAAGGAACAGGGTACTCTGCCATGGCTGACGGTGAGGGAGGAGGAGGAGGACCAACAGCAGCTGCAGATGGTGGCGACGGTGTGCACGCGGTGCCACATGCTGGTGATGCTGTGTAAGTCATCCCCGGCATGCCCCAACTGCAAATTCATGCACCGGCCAGAGGAGGGGTATGAACCCAAATTGTTCAAGCAAAGGCTCAGCCTGTACTGTTTTGCTGATCCTATAACAAAATTGTGAAAAAATTCAAGGTGGAGTCTTAAAAGCATGTTAATTAAATTTAAAAGTAAATTAATGGTTTTTCTTGTATTAAGCTGTAAGATGATATTAATGGATCGATCCTCCATCTCCTTTGAGAAATGAATGCTGAGCAGAGTGATGATGCTGGGATGGAGTAACATAATGTACTACTAACTTATATACCATATATAGAATGTAGATAAGTTGTGTTTTAATGTTACTAATTTTGTTTTGTATTTCAGTAAGAGCAAGAAAGACAGGGTTTTTTTTTTCTTTTTAAGTAGCTCAGTCCACATAAGACATGATATCTGAACTGAAGTTCATGTTCTCCTGTAATGACTTTTCTTTTGTAAGTATTTATGTTAGAACTAATACAAAGAGATATGAAGTCAAGTGTAAAAAATGTCTATAATAAAAAAATTGAGAATCTTTGAAGGTGAAACCTTAAAACTCTGAAATATGTATTAAATACACATAAGCTACCATCATTGTAATTTAAAACTGAATGTGAGTTTAGGAATTCATGCATATGTTCACGTCATTATGGAACACGGCAAAAGTTAAAGAAGTGAAACAGTAGATAACAAATCTAGAACACTATCAAATTCAGGTGAGAATTGAACTTAAATAACGTATACTTTATCACAGCCAAAAATCGTTAGTAGACTTAATTGGAGTAAGATGAAGAATTAAATACTCCATTTACTACTATGATTTACCATCTATAAAAAGAGGGGGAAAAATCAAACTTCTGGGGCTTTTGATCTGTTTTTCCAAATTTCCAATTTTGGGAATGAAGCAATTTTTTCTAGCAATGAATTCTCAGATTTAGCAAGAAGGGAAGAAGAATTGGGTAAAGAATTTTAAGCTAAGGGAATGGAGAGAAAATTTGAAAAGGGAGTGTCTGGAAAGGGAGGGAGCTGGAGTCCTAGGAATCCTGCCATTATGTAGCTTTACTCATCAACTAAGCTGTTTGCCTTATATCTCAAGTATTCATAGTTGCGAGACCTTAATCTTTGCACAAGTGCTGATCTGCTATAAGTGCTTAACTGATGCCAAATATGACAGATACAAGTTAATTATCAGATTTCATTTACCATCTCCATAAGTACAAGTCCTAGTCTGGCAGCCTCAGGATCTCTGCACCTTACCAAATTAATCAAACCAGAGAGACACCCTTTCTGAGCTTTGGAAACAAGTTCTCCACAATCAGATTTCGATTGTCATCAACCACTACTGGGGCAGTGCAGGTGTTTCCCAAGTTAGATGCATGTGTAATGCAACACAAAATCAATACCTACAGTTTAACTCCAATTATTTGATGTATTTTGGATTTAGAGGTCCTTCCTTTTGCTACATTAGCCAGTTTGTTTATGAGTTTCTGTGCAAGTCTTCCCCTGCATGGCTATGAACCCAAATTGTTGAACCAACGTCTCAGCTTCTTTTGCTGATCCTATAATAAAATCTGCGAAAAATCGAGATGGAGTCTTAAGCATCTTAATTAGAAGGTAAATTAATAGTTTCTCTTGTATTGAGGTGTAACATGATATTAATGGATCCATCCTCCATCTCCATTGAGAAACGAATGCAGAGCAGAAGGATGGTACTGTTGGGAGGGATCTACAAGATAAAGTTGTGTTTTAACGTTCCTAATTCTGTTTGTGTTTGATAAGAGCAAGAAGACATGATATCTCAACTAAACTTCATGAACTTGTATTTGTCTTTCGTGATCTTCTCTGAAATGACTTGTCTTTTTGTATTTATCCTAGAACTAATACAAATGGGGAAAACAATGTATTCTGGTTTGTTGAGATATTTTACTCAAGAGATTGCCTTCTGGTTTCTATATTCAACTTCAGGGAGCAAAACACAAATTGCCTCACCTTCATGGGAAACGTGTACCCCGATGAACCATCATAAATTGCATCAACAAAAAAATCCAAGTTGTTGCTTCTGTTGGATGGTAAAGCTCCCAGAACTTCGTAGATCTCTATAGATGGGAGTCATGGGACAATACTAGGAAGCAAAGATATCATCTCATTGACTAATAAGCTCATGATTTGAATTGAAAAAAATTCAATTTTTATAATAAATATCTTGAATTTAAAATTTATAAATAAAAAAATAATTGTTAAGAAAATATCTCTCTTTGTAAGATTTAATGTGATTTAATTTAAACTCATTTTTAAATATTTAATAATTTAATATAAAAATAATATATTTTTATTCACAAATTTTATTTATAAATCTTACCTAATATCTTGACAATTGATTTTTTATAAATAAATAATTAAGATTTAAAACAACTTTTAAATAAAATGAGAATTATTTTTAAAAAATTAACGAATAAATAGCAAAAAAATCTCAATAATTTGTCATGGCACACTTGACTTTCATCCAAAATAGTTAAAAATTAATTTTTATAGTTAATATTATAATTATAATATTATATAATATTATAAATTTATAATTATAATATAATATTAAATAAATATACATATACAATGTGTATGGTGGACCCAAATAAAAAATTAATTATATAAATTTTAAATAAAATAATAAATTATATAATAAAAAAATTATATTATAACTTTATAATATCTGATTATATTATAATCATAATATTTCAAAACTTCTAATATTGATGTCGGCCCACTATTATCTCGTGTGGGTATGCCCAAGCTTTCGTGGTAAGTACCAGAAAATTTGTGTTACAAAATATATTCTGCCTTCTTGGTTGATTTTTAATAGATTTCAATTAATTTTTTAATTTTTTAGGTATAAATTTTAAATAAAATTTTAATAATTCATATAAATAATAATTAAAAATTATATATATAAAATTATTATTGAATATTTTTATTTGGCAAAAAAATTTAAATGTTATTTATATAATATGTTAAATTTTTATTTAAAATTTATATTTAAAAAAATAAATAAAATCCATTAAAAATAAATTAATCGGATAGAGGACAAAAAAAAATCTGTTTTGCGCCCGTGGCAGTTAATTATGAGTTACGGATAAACGAAAAAAACAATTTCTGTAGATCGACCCAACTGCACGCCACAGTTATTCATGTTCTATAGTTTTCAAAATTTCATTCCCACCAATATTTCTTGCCAACCATCGTATCAGATCCTGTTCGCCCTCTCCTCTCCGCCGCAAAACCCTAACTCGGCATCTTTATGCTGTCGTCCGACGGTGGTCCCGTCACCGACTACGATCGATGCTCGTGCCCTGCCGTCCAAAATGGCGATTTCCACGGCGAAGCCTGTGTCCACGGATCTGACGAGGAAACCTGTGCGCATTGCGCGATGGCCGAGCCTTCTTTTTGCTCTTCCTCTTCGTTTGGTTTTGATTTGATTCGCTTGACATATTCTGAGAAGCTGCGGAGAATCGTCCTTGCTTCGGCTAAAGGATTCTCCATTGGAGCTGGCCTCAAAGGCGGCTTAGCTCTCTTCTCAATTCTCGTGCGCTCGCGTCGAAGAAGATCATCTTCCGCCACTAGGTAATTCTAACATGTTGTACTTTCATCAGATCGGAATTCTTTTCCGTTTTCCACCTTAATTATGTGATCATAGTAATTTATTAATTTCTTTGTTTAGGAAAGTTGAGATGTTTTCTAATAGCGAAGCAATTTCTCTGGCAATTAAGGAGACTCTTAGATATGGACTCTTTCTCGGAACTTTTGCTGGTACATTTTGTTCATTGGATGAGATTATTGGTTCTTTGGGAGGACATCGTAGGCATGCTCCACTTCTTAAGTTTTATTCTTCTGTTTAAACATTGAAGCAATTTAGAAGGTTATATTGAATTTTGCTTGAGTCTGGTGCTGTTTATGTGCAATTAGGACAGCAAGATGGAGGGCGTTAGTTGCAGGATTAGTTGCAGGACCTTCTATGCTTCTTACTGGGCCAGATACACAGCATACTAGTTTGGCCATATACATACTCATGCGTGCTGCTGTTTTGGCATCAAGGTGTGGGATAAAAAGCAAGAGGTTTGGGAGGATTTGTAAGCCTCTTACTTGGAAGCACGGTGACATATTCCTGATGTGTCTCTCCTCTTCACAAATTCTGTATGTTCCTTTGTTAGATCCTCACAGTTTCTGCTTTTGCTAATTTAGATTGTTTTTATTCAGTAGTTTTCTGTTGAACTGTGGAGACTTGTGTTGAAGATATATGAGAAAACCAAAATTATTTATTACCTTGACACAGATTTACATAGTGGAATTGTACTTAATATCTACCAGATTACATATGAAACTCCTGAGAACTGAATCACCTTATGTGCTCAATTTGTGGTCTTAATTGACTTGGACCTTGCAACACCAACCACCAGAGAGGAGACTAGAAAAGAAATTAGAGATAAAGAAGACATGTGCTTAAGATTAGGAATATTTGGTGCCTCAACCTAAATATTTATCAAATCGTGAATGAAATGGGATCCACAGCACCAGTGCCTACCTTATCAATATGCTTTTAGTTTTTCAGTGTAACATTGTTTAAAAGGTATTCCCATTTCAGGTCTGCCTACATATTGAAGCAAGAGAGCTTGCCCCCTTCATATAAGTCCTTTCTCAATAAACATGGTGGAAAGGATGCTGCCATCCTGCAAGGTGTAAAAGAGATTGCAACTGGCATGGCATTCACTAATTTGGAGGCAGTAGAGAAATATTACAAGTCAACAGGAATAGACATTAAACTAGACCCAAAGATGAAAGTTCCCTGTACGGTATGATGATAGTTTTCTTCTTTGTTTTAGTATTCTAGGTGGTAAGAATACATGTGCAGTGTGATGTGACCATGTTTTATGTTGCAATGTTGCATATTTCTTTTCTATAATGCAGACTGCTTGATCACTTTTAAGGTCTTCTCACATGCCTTCAGTGTAAATTTGATTTGCAGCCCAGAATTATGTATTTTACACCTGAAATTTTATTTGGCTTGAAATTGCATTGTTGAGATGTGCTACTTTGGCATCTGTTGTGGTAAATATCTTCCATGTTATTAAGTTCTTAAAGCAGTGGCATTTAGCAATAATCTTGATTATGGAAATACATCTGATGATCTTGCATTGAACATGAACTATTTTGTTAAAGGTTTTTACTAAAGATAAAGTATTCACCATTGACTTTCAAGTTAGTAACTTAATGGCTAATGTTCCTAAACATTGTGCAGATTATCCATGGGAAGCAGTCATGTGGTACCCATTTTGTTTCTTTTCTCATTGAGGCATATAAGAGAGCATTACCTGTATACCTTCCAGTATATTTGGTTCCTGCACTAATAGTTCATCGTCAGGGCCTCTTGAAAAGGTATATATGAGCTTCTTCTTTTCCTAAATCTAAATGTTTATTAAGACCATTCCATCGCTTGATGAAGAATTACTCTTTAACCTATTATCTGATGGAATTATTATGGGTGAAAATTTCGATCACTCATTTAGATGTAGTTGTTATTTCCTTTTGGTAAAGAAAGGATTATACCTGGTTAGTGATTGATATCACCTTAAATTTGCCTAGTTCATTCTCTGCATCACCTTAAATTTGCCTAGTTCATTCTCTGCATCATACTAGAGTAGATAAGTACCCCTCTGCAGTTGATGTGCATGTGAGCTGGAATGGTCTGCACGTTTAATATAACTTGGCTGACATAAAACTTTTGACCATCCAATACCCACAAAAATAGTTTTCATTCCCTCCCAAAAGTTTGTAAAGCTATGAGTACTAGTTGTGATAATTTATCCTATCAAGCAAGGTGGTTCTTTGTTATCATCATTCATTATTGTCTCATGTAATTGTGCTCTGTTTGACCTTATGCAGGCCTTACAGAATACTAGGAAAAGGTCTTCTTGGGACCGCCAGATCAAGCCTATTTCTTTCTGTCTATTGTGCTTCAGCATGGTTAGCATTTGATTCTTTCTATTATTTCATTCATCTTTGTTAACATTGATCCTTTCTCTCCTTAAAAGGTAGTTATTGTCTGTTTCAAAATTTTTTTTTTTTTTTTGGTTGGTATCATCTTTGTTTAGTGCTCTTATTTTCATTTTGTCTACCTGCAAAATTTATAGTCCCTGTAACAGAATTTCTGAGGTGACACATGACATTATGATAAGGTGTGGTTCTTGAACTACTAAGTTAAAAGAAAATTTTCTGAGGATGACACATTAGATTATATTCTGGAGATCAACTTTAGCAGTCAAAAGGTGGATTCTGGGGTGACTGGTGGTGACCATCAATGACCTCATATTTTAATTTTTGCTGGTCTGCCTTTACAATATTTTGAAAGGTATTAAGGGTTTCATTGCTTCGGGGGTACTAGATTTTGCTGAGAAAAGTTTTTTTAAGTTGGTTCCCTTAACAGCATGAATGTCAAGACTGAAATGGGTTAGAATGATCTGGTTCACTTACTGTTCTTTGCAATTTAGCTTTTATTTTAGTCAGAATAACCTTAGATTCTAAAATAGCCCTATCTGTATTGTGATAAAGGATGTGGACGTGCCTGCTTTTTAGGATTTTCAAAAAGTGCAATATACCAATGGTAGCAATGGGAACGGTAAAGGACTTTGTACATCTGATGATCAAGTTGTGAACTAAATTTCTGGTTTTCTTTTTCTAAACTTGCATGTGTTCTTTGACAGTTCCCAACTGGTCTGGCCTTGGCTATTGAAAAGAAGAGCAGACGGATTGAAATATCACTCTACTGCCTCGCACGGGCCATTGAGAGCTTCTTCACATGCATGGCTGATGCGGGCTACTTACCACAGCCAGAGAATCTGAAGAGAGCTGATGTGGTGATTTTTAGCATATCCACCGCTATAATAATGCACTGCTATGCCCAGGAGAGGGATGTGTTTCGATCCAAGTACTTAAATGTTCTTGACTGGGTATTCGGCGTGCCTCCTCCCCCGTATGAAACCCCTCGCTGCAAAAACAGCTGTTGCAGGAGGAATGAAGATAGTGGAGAGGTTTCTAGTCAGCAGTTACTAGAAGCATCAAGATTGCAAATATGAATTTTTGAGAATAACGGGCTGATAAGTAGCAGTAGAATCCAACTCCTCCCCAGCTGAAGCAATTTCGGTGATCCATATTATAAATGTGTAGTATTATATTTTGATTGAACTTATTACACGTTTATAAACAAAACCGTCTGGTTCAGTGGTGTACCCAAAAGAGAAAAGAAATTATTCTAACATGTGCTTGTACGCATCAAAGTATAATTGTTGTATTATTTTTGTATTAATTAATATTTAAAAATATAAAAATTATTATTAATTTTATTTTTAATGTTATATGTATTATTATTTAATTAAATAAAAATTAATTTTTTTAACACTAATTAAAATAAAAAATTCTGCAATAAGGGCACACATCTGCCTTGGTTGAAGACTAAAAAACCCCTTCTACCAAAAAAAACAAAAAGACTAAAAAACCCAAACATAAAATAAAAACCCTAATTAATTCAGAGTTAAAATCCACCACCGCCAACCAGCTGGCAACTGCGGCGTCTCGTCAAACCTCGTCCTCCTTAAGGACATCTTTGGGTGAGTTTATAAAAGTGTTAATTTTTT